AACCACATAAGGAAGAAAGGCAATCCAGCACCTTGGCACTCCTTTATATGGGACTCTCACTTGACCCCCCCGCCGAGTCCTTTTTATTATGGATTGTGTCATTAAAACGGCTACCTACCCGGGTCTTTCTTATGCAGAATCGTCGGATTGAATCAGGTTTATGTGCTTTCTGTCGTACTATCCCAGATTCCATCAACCATCTCTTCTTCGAATGTTCTGTTACCAGCAGGCTGGCCTCATTTTGGGCAACCAAATGCAATCTGCCATGGCGCAATTGTCCGTGGCTGGAGCTTCTTTCGTGGGCCTTCAAAGTTTGTGGAGGCACTTCCTTTCGGCACCGAATCGCTAGATTCTCCTTCGGTGCTCTTTGTCACATCATATGGATTGAGCGGAACAACTCTCTTTTCGAAACAAGAGTATCTTTATTAGGGAATCCGCAAACACTTGCTCAAGTGGTGAAGGATAAAGCTTTATCCTCAGGGAAAATTGCTGACACACCTACAAATAGGCGACTCCAAAGGAACTGGGAACTCTCACCTTCCATTTTTTCATAATTTGGTTGTGTAGTTTCTCTATCTTGTACCTAGCATTGTTGGTTGTTACTTTTTCGTTTTTGCCTTGTTGAGTGCCCCCCCTCTTTCGGACTTCATGTAGATTCGGGATTCGGGGTTTTCTCTTGTCATTTCCTTGTATTTGGTGATTCAGAAAAGTAATACAAACTCTTACCTTTACCAAAAAAAAAAAAGAAGAAATATTCAGGAATAAATCAATTCAAAAGTATGGGTTAGTTCGCATCGCATCAATAACTTGATTAAAAAAGAAAAAGAATATAAAGGTAAAGCTTCTTTAATGACAATGTTTTTTTTTTTGGTAACCGAGGATCCGCCACTATTCTCCGGGGACGAGTCCGCACAAGTAATCGGGGCGCCTATACCTCGGAGGAGACTAGCCCAGCAACCCACCGCCAAGGCCCCCCCACTTAAATTACGGAACCGAGCGGGGATTCGAATCCAGAACCTCTAAGGAGGGAAGGAAAGCGCCCACCAACTCGGCCATGCGTAGGTGGGTCTTTAATGACAATGTTTATCGCCAATATTCTCACTAATCTATTAAACAATTGGTCCTCTTGCAATATAAGAAGCAAACTGCAAATGTGAGTTGGCTCAGCTGATAAGGTTCGAACTCTCTGCACACCATACTCAAATTCGAATCTCGCTGCCAGCAGTCCCCTTTGATAGGCGAGAAAGGGATGTTCAAGGTTCTTTAAATCATCATCCAATCAAATTTGCTTTTTATGTAGAGGGTACTTTCGTCAAGAGCAATTTCTAGTTTAACTAGATTGTGCATGCATCCATTTAAGGTGTGGAAATAGACCCACCCTTATTTTTGATATCCATGATGACATACGCAACTTTTAGAAAAAAAGGGAGATAAAATCAAGGACTTTTTCAAAAGTTATTTGTGAAAGAAGAAAACAACAAATTGTTCGAAGTTGAAATTGCTAATTAACTGTCACCAGATAAAAATTATTGACATAGGTACAATAAATGGAATAGTGAGTTTTTGTATTATATCTGTACCAAGGAAAGAACCATTCCATGGCATAGAATGCCTGCTTGGATTTTCTCAATTGTAGAATCTTGGTGTTGCTTGTGGTTTCTCACTTCTATACTCTTTTTGTAACTTGCATGCCCCACTCATTAGGGGTGCCAGAACTGAACCGGAAAACTGAACCGAGATACGAACCGAACAGAAAATTTAGTGCATTTCGGTTCAGTTTCGGTTTCAGTCCAGATAATCAAAATTAACCAATTTTTTTTTCAATTCGGTTTGAATCGAACCGAATTGAAATAAACACTTCGGTTTAACCCTAAAAGCAAAACGGTTTTAGGGCTATCTCGCCCTCGCGTTGCATCTGGTGCTCTCTCTCTCTCGACGCCGACTCCTGCATCTAGTGCTCTCTCAGAACGACTGAACGAGGATGACGTCTAGCTTGGTGCTCTCTCTCTTGGCGCCGACTTCTGCATCTGGTGCTCTCTCAGAACAATTGAACGAGGACGACGTCTGGTGCTCTCTCTCTCAGTGCCGACTCCTGCATTGCTCAGTAGATTGAAATCGAGTGACGCAATTAACTGAGGAGCTCCGTAGATCAAAGCCTCCCGACATGAGCTCGCCAACAATTTGTCCTCCTGCGACGACGAAACTCGAGTTCGAAGCAAACATCAGTAACTGAGTGGCACTCATGTTGTTGTACATGTTTTGCACACAAAAGAAGTTTTCTTTGCATTTTGGTGACAGTTCCCTGCAGAAAACATTCAAATGCAAATGAGATGGGCCTGGGTCAAGCCTATTATGCGTGGCCCAAGCTTAAAACCCAATATCTCCCATTGGTGCATGATGGGCTTGATGCAATCTCCATACTCGTATATCTCGTCGGTATAATATCTATCCTTTGGAAGCAATTTCTCTTTTGGACCTTTTGTGAAGTGACGCCCATTTACAGGGCCCGTTTGGATTTCTTAGTTGAATGAAATGATGCTTTTTTATGACCAAAAAAAAAAAAAACTCCAACGGGCACATTTGGTTGTGTGACCAAAGAGTACACTCGCATTAAGCTTACTATGCATTGGTTACGGTAACATAAAGCCACAATAAACAATCTTGTTGTACCCTAGACACTATTCATTATGTAAGCCCAAACACCTTTTATCCCTTAACAAAAAATATGGTTTAATCTATCATGTATTCACAATCAGATTATAATTACTTTAGGTAGATATGACTGGCCGGCTAGAGAGCACATGTACGAAATAAAAACATATCTTCCTTTCCTACTTGAAGCACTCCTTCTCAACCTGGTTGTTTTCCTAACATGTCTCGAAGGTGGCATCAGTTCTTGATCGGAGGAAGCATGCTAAAGTAGCGGTCATTAGAGATCAGGATTTCGAAACATGGTAGAAAGTCTTGAGGGTACTATAAGAGGTTTTTATAACCCGTAAGTTCTCGTACCGTGGAGCGTTGGGATTAATTTCGATTATAGCATGTTCTTGGTACTAGCTAGAGCATTGAAAAGCGTCACCCCCAATTAATACTTCATTTGGAACCTGATCAAACCCTTCTTGTTACATCCCAAACAAGCAAATATTTGAAGAATTGACTCTATCTCGTAGCATGAATAATACTAAGTCTTGCATATCCCCAATTATCTCCTTTGAATGTGCTGTATTCCCCGGAAATTTGATGGTGGATAAGACCAAAGTCCAGGTTAGGAACTTAGGCTGTGTTTGATGTGGCAGATATAACACCAAATATGCTAACCTTTATCCTATCCGAAATTTGAGGCAACCCAAAATCCGGATATGTCCGGATATTATTTGGATATAGTCCAGATAAAATAAACTCACCTAGGGAGTGAAATATACCTGCATAAGATATGTCTCACACTCATCTCTCTTTTTTGTTCCCTATACCCACCGTTGGCCATCATCCACAGCCTCTACCACCCATGGCCTCCCACCAAGCTCCGTCTCGTTGCTACTAATGAGGCTCGTCGTGGTGACGAGCTTGACTCAATCTTGGCCACGGGGTAGCTCCATGACCAGACGTAGAGCTCGTCCATGGCTGAGCTCAACTCAATGGAGCTCGAGTGGTCTTCAGCCACGGAGGAGCTCCGTAACCAATTCTGGGGCACCATTCTTTGTTCACAGAGGAGCTCTATGGCCGAATCGGGCTTGATTGGACCATAACCACGGTGGAGCTCGGCCTCAACCTTAGAATGCTACTTTCAGTGACAGAGGAAACCTCAAGGACCAAAATCGCAATATCTTCGTGATATTTTAAACAAAGTGGGCCGATAAAAACAAGATTTATCTTTCACATATGGGAACAGAGAAAACCAGGATGAACGAAGGAGATGAACCTAGAATCTGAAGATTGCAGGCCAGCAATGAAGATGGAGGAGGGATTGGTGGTGCTGAAGATTTTGCACGATGGTGATGCCTAGGCAGCTCCGCGAGAGTTTGAAGTTTCGAACGGTCGACATTCAATCTGGCATGGGCGCAGAGGAGGAGGAGGTGGAGGACAGCAAGAAGATTGAAGTGGGATTTATCGGTGGTGAGAGCTTTTACGTCCGGAGGTTGTTGGCGGCGAGAGCCATTACGTCGATATCCTCTCTGTCTTAATAATAAAAATTCAAGGAACTTGAATACGCCGATACTTAGCTAATACTGTATAAGATATTAGAAATCCCATCTTTATTCAATCCGACTTATTTCTTATCCAATAAGAAAATTCAGATGACTACAAACAAAAGAAGAAGAGATGATCTCGATAGCGGGTTAGTAAAGAGACATCCTCATGGTTGGTTTGCGAAGGAACGTATCTAGAAACTCAAGTGTGATTCATGCTTCGTTCGTTTCGCGAAAAATATAACGTTTCTGGAAAATGTTTTCCAAAAAGTCATTCATTAGGGAAATGACAATATTTTCCGTTGGTCGCTTGAGTCCTGAAAATAAACTGAAAAATATTTTTCGCCATTTGGTATTCGATTTGATTTTCTAGGAAAAATTACCAAAAAATTTGAATTTTTAATTATTTTAATTATTTTCCCTTTTTTTGTCTTCTTCCTTGGCAGGTTGTTGGCCATGGCAACGGTCAGAGACTGGCCATAGGCGAGCTCGAGCCTCGCCACAGGCCGACAAGCTCGCCACAGGCCGACAAGGCTCGAGCTCGCCTAATTCAACCTCGTCGGCCTGTGGCAAGGCTCTGCATCGCTTGATCCGGCGAGGTCGTCGGCCTGTGGCAAGGCTCTGCATCGCTTGATCCGGCGAGGTCAAGCTCAGGTCTCGCCAAATTCGGGGAACTGGGCGAGGCTCGAGCCTGTGATTTGATGAATTGCTTCACGTGCTTCACGTGCATTATCTGTTGAATTGCTTTATTCACCAGGCGAAGTGGGCACAATAATTCTACCCTTCTACTGTCAAAAGAGCAGGAGAAGCTCCATGATCTGATAACATAAGAAATAATAAGTGAATTGGCGCGAGAGAGAATTGGATAGGAAGAAACCCCTACAGGGTGTACTCCACTGCAAATATTGAAAAGTCAAAGTCAAGAATCCACCACCATCTCGCTAAAATCAACACGCTATTGACACACAAAGGCAAATTTTAAATGCCGAAAATATGAAAAGTTCAGACCAACATGCTATTTAACGACGTTCTTCTTCTCTTCCACCTAAAATCTGCTCTCATCTTCATCTTCCAGTTCACATACTCTCTCTCCAGCTCTCATCCATGGCTTCTCTTTCTTTCCGCTTTCTTACACTTTGTTCGATCGTTCTATCAATCACCTTCCCCGTCACTTGGCAGGCCTCATTCAGGCCCAAGGCACTGGTCCTTCCAGTCATCAAGGACTCCTCGACTCTCCAATACCTCACCACCCTGCACCAAAGAACCTCCTTGGTCCCTGTCAAGCTGACCCTCGACCTTGGTGGCAAGTTCCTCTGGGTCGACTGCAACCGAGGCTACTCGTCGTCCTCCTACACCCCGGCTAGGTGCCGCTCGGCCCAGTGCTCCCTCGCAGGGTCCAAGATCTGCATCAGCTGCTTCTCCGGGCCCTTGCCCGGCTGCAGCAACAACACGTGTGGCCTCTCCCCAGACAACACAGTGACGCGCACCTCCACGGACGGCGAGGTGGCCCAGGACGTCGTGGCGGTGCAGTCCACCGACGGGTCGAACCCGGGCCCGGTCGTCTCGGTGCCCAAATTCCTCTTCATCTGTGGGGCCACATTTCTCCTGCAAGGCCTGCCCAGTAGGGCACAGGGGATGGCAGGGTTAGGGAGGACTAGGATTTCACTTCCCTCTCAATTCTCTGCTTCCTTCAGCTTTGATAGGAAGTTTGCCATTTGCTTGAGCTCATCGTCAAGCTCCAGTGGAGTGGCCTTCTTTGGCAGTGGGCCTTACATGATGCTTCCTGGGATTGATGTCTCAAAGTCTCTCATCTACACTCCACTGATCATCAACCCAGTGAGCACTGCATCGTCTTACTTTACGGGTGAGCCCTCAACAGAGTACTTCATCGGGGTCAAGTCCATACAAGTCAATGGCAAACAAGTCCCTTTAAACGCATCCCTCTTGAACATCGACAAAGAAGGCAACGGCGGCATCAAGATCAGCACTGTGAACCCGTACACCGTGATGCAGACCTCGATCTACAAGGCCGTGGTCGGGGCTTTCATGAAGGAGCTCTCGCAAGTTCCGAGGGTCCCGCCGTTGAAGCCCTTCGGGGCCTGCTTCGACTCGAAAAGCATCGGAAGCACGAGGGTTGGGCCGGGCGTGCCGCAGATCGACCTGGTGCTGCAAAGTAGCAGTGTGTATTGGAGGATCTTTGGGGCTAATTCGATGGTGCAAGTGAAGGAGGGTGTGTTGTGCTTGGGCTTTGTGGATGGAGGGTCGAGTCCAAGGACGTCAATAGTGATTGGAGGGCATCAATTGGAGGACAACTTGCTGCAGTTTGATCTGGCCACATCAAGGCTTGGGTTCAGCTCTTCTCTCCTGTTCAGGCAAACCACCTGCTCAAACTTCAACTTCACAACCAAAGCTTAGTGGGATGCCACCATGAAGGTTCCTTTTTTTTCTTTTAATTAATAAAGGGCGAGATATATTGGTGGGTCAAAAATATATTAATAAATTTTTTTGCAATTGGAATATGTAACTTGTATAATCATTTTGATCCGTGAGATAAAGAGTAAAATATGTTTATTGGTTGATGACAGATCTGGCATATGCTGCCTCTGATATGCTTGGCAGCATATGCGGAGATTCGTTAAAAAGCTGTCGTTCTCATGATAGTTGTAAATCATTACTTTTTTTCCCCTAGTGTCCACTAATCTATCAATTTAGTGAATCAAAGACCAGTCATTCAAGCTCGACCCAATTGTCTGATTTTACGTTTCTTTGTATTCTTCCTCTCCCTTACGATGAAGTATCCGTAAAATGACTCAAATCACGATTTAGTAACCATACGCAGCGATCTCTCGTGAATACATTATTCCCGGTGAAAAGGAGCCTCAAATAGTCGTAGACCGACTTGGACTTATTCAATGACCTAGAAGTCCACTTAAAATGAACCTAAAGCAGTCGGAATATCTTGTATTTAAAGAGTAAAGATGCTCTAAAGTCTAAAGCGACCTCTATAAAAGGTACATGTAGTACGTGGTTGTCAGAGAAAATGTGTAACGTGCCCATATCTTTGGCTTATTATATGACCTTTGTTTTGAAAGGAATCGACGTGTCAATCTTATCCGGACATGGATATTCAATTAGACTTTCAGTCAATTTGAATTGGTTATTTAAAGTAGAAAACAAAAATTGTCTTTAACGTCCCTAAGGGCAAAGAATATAGGCAATCAATTGATGTAAGGGATGAGATCATATTCATCCAACGACTTGTCCAACAAGAAATGTTTTTTGCTCTTTCCTATCTCACTCTTTTTGTGAAGTAGATATACTTTGTGACGGAATTGCCATGTGGCTTTTTTGAAAATAATAACATCATATTGATATAAGGCTATCTCGAAATTATACAATAGAAAGTGATGCAAAACAATTAGATTTTCCCTCAAAACTTTCGGGCTTCCCTCTTTAACGTGCCCTAGACATATATGTCATAATTCAAACTTTCGAACAAAAGCATCAAATGTCTTCGCGGATAAATCTATCATTGCCTCCACTGAAAGCTCATACATGCCACTATACTTGCTTTCTCTCATTATCATCAGGACATCTTGAACGACTTTCAAAACCTCACATTTTGAAATATACTGAAGCCTAACTGAATTCAGGGCACTAATGGAAATCAGATTCTTCTTCAATTTAGAAATGGCTCACTCCAATCAATGTTTTCTTGATATCATCATCCATTCTGATTCTAACATGCCAACACCCATAATACTGTATTTAGCGTTGTTCTCTAATTGCACTTTACCATTATTTGTGCACTAATATATAGTAAACTAGATCTTGTTTGATGTATTATGAAACTAACAACCAGATTTCCATTTTTAGTGACAGATAAGACACAATCATCACTATTCGAGACACCATAAGCTATTGTAGCGATATCATCAAAAGACTCAACTCTGATTGTCTTACCCTTCTCATATTTAAGGCAATTCATTCTAAGATGCTCATTCTTGCCACAATTTCAACAAACAATACCACATGTTCTAGATTGACTACGTCTATTTAGGTTTGCACTATTCCAGCTTGCACGAAAAGTAGTTATTCATGTACCTTCACCTAGTAAACTAGTAGGCGTGGGTTTATTAGAGTAACCTAAAATCAAATTGCAAATCTCATTAAATGTCAAGCTTCTTGACCAAGAGAAATTATTAACTATAGTAACAATAGTACTCCAACTATTAGGTAATGAGGATAATAGAATTAAAGCATGTATCTCATCATCAAAGTCAATATCAATCGAACTTAATTGGCTAAAAACAACATCGATATCGTTGATATACTCAGCTATCGACACACATTTGCCCATCTTTAACTAAAATAAACTTTGCATTAAGGAGACCTTATGGCAGAGGGCTTTTTGTATAGGGTAAATAGCACAAATGATCCCTAAACTTTGATCCAATGTGTAATGTCGTCCATAAACTTTTAATTTGTGTAATGTGGTTCTTAAACTTAGGCCCAATGTCGTTCCTAAATTTTTAATTTGTTCAATGTAATCCCTAAACAATCGGTAAATGTTCAATGTAGTCCTTAAACTATATGAAATTTTTTAAAAGTTCAGGGACCACATTGAACAATGTATCAAAGTTCAGGGACTATATTTAACAAATTAAAAGTTCAGGGATAGCATTGCACATTTGACAAAAAATTATGGACCATTTGTATCATTTTCCCTTTTGTATATGTTCAACAAGGCAATCATCAAACCTAACATCTGCCGAATAAAGCTCAATGCCCGTCTATCCAAAAGCCCCAATCAACTTGCTTCATTGACTATAGCTTCTTTTTGGAGATGCAGTAAGTGCAAATTTCTCTAGTACAGATAAATCTCAATTTGCATATTCCGGAAACCGGAATCCTTTCTATCAAGTATGTTGATTTTACTTTTTTTCTTCTATTGCGACCAATTCGCTTTAACCCAGTCAAGCCTGACATTAATACCAATCGTTACGAAAAAAAAGCAATCGAATAATAAAATAAACAAATCATGCTTGAGAGCATATGCGGAGATTCGTTTGAAAGCTATCCTTTTAATCATAATTGCATGTGCTGGATGCCCCCTTTTCCCCAGTGTCAATTAATCCATCAATTTAGTGAATCAATTCTGTCCTTCTCTTCACATTTTTACTTCTACTAACAATGACGTCTCCGCAAAATGGCTTGAATCACGACCTAGTAATCTTATCTGCTAATTCTGGTGAAAACATTATTCTCGATGAATAGGAGCCTAAAATAGTCGTCGAATAACTTGGATTCATTCAATGACCTAGAAGTCCACTTAAAATGATTCTGAAACAATCAACGTATCTTGTATTTTAAGAGAAAGATGCACCAAAGCTTAGGGCGACCTCTACAAAAGGCACATATAATACATAGTTTCTTTGAAGAAAATGTGTAAAGTGCCATTATCTTTGTCCTATTGCATAACCTTCTTTTGAAAGCAACCCACGTGTTGACCTTATCGGGACATGGATATTAATTAAAGACGGCCAAAAAACAAAAATTGAATACCTTTAACGTCCCATAGCGCAAAGCATATATGCAATCCAATGCGGAGCTGATAGATAATTCCAAAGAGTGCCCGTACTCTGTATCTGGCACTTTCGGATGGGACAAGAACCGTGAGTACTTTTGATTCAGACAATTGGCGTGATTCATTGCAATTTAGAGCAAATCTACATCCGCGGATATTTGACGTAAGGGATGAGATCGCATGTCAATGTTTCCATGGTTGAGAACATTTTAGGTTAGTATTTAAAGGCCCGTCAAATAAGTGAGTCAGATCGAATTGAAAATAATTCGATCTAAATTGATTCATTTAATATGTTTTAATCCATTTACATGCATACAACTTTAGCGGCTCACACTTGATCCGATCTAGGATGCATTTTAGTGATTTTTCTCTTTAAATTTTTGTATTTGAATAATGATTAACTCGCTCGTCAAGTTAGCAAAGGAGCTTGGGGGTCAAGTCATGGATGGGGGTACGAAGGTGGTGATGAAAGTCCGGCTCAAGCAATCAATAAATCATAAAACAGGTTTAGTTTTGAGTAATATTAGGATTTCAGGCCATTCATAAATCATGAAACGGTTGTGACTCTTGATCAATGGCAATCAAATTCGAGACGTTAATCTCAGTAGTTTGTTTGGCAAGTGCATATTTTGTCACTAGTGAACAATTTTTTATTTTATAATCGAGGAAAGTTCTAAATTTCACTGATACACATCAGCTTTGAACATACGTATAAAGATAACTAATTAACACTCCTTGACTCAAAATCTCAAACTTTATGTTCTACATTTGAAATGGTCCGATCTACCATGTGTTCACAAATAAAATAAATTCCAAGTAAGAATTTCCTTAACATCCATGCTATGGCAAGCACTTAGACCAAATCATTGACAAGATGTTCTCCCTTCACAACCTTCCACTCTTACCACATGAGGACCACGACCCATTCGATTACCAAAAACAAAGTCAAATGGACAAACAGCTATGGCCAAAACAAAAATAACAGCTGATGATCGGTCAAGCTGCTTTCTTCACCACAAGAGTCGCTGATTTCAATCAAAGTGCTAAACGACCTGCACCGAAAACCGGCACGAGGATTTCGCCAAACACCTGGGTGGGCATTGTCTAGACTTACTTGGTCTTCCTCGTTGAAAGCAAGTGGTTTCCAATGATTCCATCTGCTTAGTTAAAACAGCTTCCTCAGTCTAATTACGCCTAAAGAATCTTATGAAATTATTCTCCATCGAGTAATATAAAATCACAAAAAGCATATTAATTTTTTCAGGTAATTACGCTTACGCCAAAAACAAAAGTAAAGAGAAGAATCAAATGCTAATTCAAATTCGTTCTATCGGAATTCAACGGAGACAGCTTGGCATGTCGTCATAAATATGTAAATGTCAACAACCCCGCCCCCAAATCACCAGCATCTGATGACTCCGCTGTCCGCTGACGAGAGCCGATCCGGCGCGAAGTATATGCAACACCGGGAAAGTCATAAACGGAATCGAACGGCTCCTCCATATTTTCTCGAGTTTTCGGGTACTGCGACGGGGTTGGCCTTCGAGACTTGTTCACTCCGCGTCTTCTTGATGTTGAAGCCGCGCCCGTGCTGCTCCGAGTACCTATGGGACCCCCAAAACGTCCCGTTGCACCGGCTCTTGAACCTTGTGAGTTCCACGTGCCATCTGCGCACCTGCTCGGCCCCGCTGTTGCCGAAGCGGCCGCGCGCTCGTCGACGACTGGAGACAAGGGAGCTGTGGACAGTGCCACCGAGATCGCGGGTGGCGAGGGGGAAGCTAGTGAGTAAGAGAGAGAAGGAAGTCTGAGAGCTGTCTGTTGTCGGCTAAGTTCGTACACAAGAAATTGAAACCAAACGTTAGGAAAACTAACCTGAAAGTAGTACAAATAAATAAACAGAATGTTGATCCGAGCCCAACGAAGTAACGTCGTGTCCTTAAGACGAATTTGGCCCCTCAATCAGTACCCGAGGATATTGGACAATCGTCTCCC